GTTGCATAATGTACAAAGCTAAAACAATAGAAAGAAATGCCATATGCTTGGAAGCGAACACAATATTTCTTTGGTGTATTTCCTTATATTAAAAGGTGTGCTTATGTTGTCTCTGTGTTTCATCTTGGTCTTATGAGATGTCTCACCACTACCTTTTTATTACTGCATTCTTGAAGATTGCATACTTGTCAAAATTAGATCAACTAAGAAGTTTGGGAATTTCTATATGATTTCCAATATTTATCTTTTGTTTCCTATGATATGTACATGACTGCTACTTTTTTCTTTTGTGTACATACTTTTTTCTTTTATGTGTACATAATTTTCTTTTCATTTGATCTTAGGCCTAGTTAGTTTTGCATTTTTAAAAGGGTCGTCCTTTTACTCCAAATATGTAGTAGCGATCCATTCTGACTTGGCATACCTTCTATGAGGCAAAGCTGATATCTTGATAAATGGCTCTAGAAAAGATGATTGTCAAGATGTTGCACATACTATACCATCCACCACGTGCTATTTTTAGTTTAATTATTATTTATTTGGTCCACCTAAAGTTCTCTAGGACTTTATCTGAACTTAATTAATCTTACACCTTGTGTCAACAAGAGCTACTACATTTTTTGGGAAATGACATACATGTCTGTGGATAATATGGAGAAATCCAATGCTAAAATGCGTGCACAATAGAAACAAATTTGAGTGGTTTCAACGGGTTATATAGATCTAAGAAGTATGGACACTTTTAAGAAGGTGGTGTGTTGTGTTAGACATGGACATGCCACTCTTTGGACATTTCCCGCCACCTATTGGACACACATCCAAACGTGTTTTACTATTTTTAAAAATTTTCTAGACTCGTACATGCTTTAAACACGGAGGATCATAGGTCTATTGCTTAGGTAAACTTGAAGTTAGAATGTAGAGTATGTAAAAACTAGGGTTAGGGTTAGAGTGGAAGAGAGAAGAGAGAGAACAAAAGAGATTATAACAAAGAAATAACGTCTTAACTAACCATTTTGGTTTTAATATTTAATTTACAACTTTTAAGTTTTCAAAGAGCTTGTCCATAGTAGAAAACTTTAAATTTTCGTGGTTGATGTAGTGGGGAGAATGATTAATTCTAGGGAGAAGGGTGTAGTTGAGGGTTTTGTATTCGGGAGGGATAAGATTTGTGTTTCTCATTAACAGTTTGAGGATGACACTATCTTTGTCTTGTCTAGGGAGGAAATTGAGAATTTTAATCTTTTAGCAATTCTGAGGAGTTTTGAAATTGTGTCTAGGCTTAAGGTGAATATTTATAAAAGTGGTGTGGTGGGTATTAATTTGTGACAAGATCAAGTGCAGAGGATGGAAGAAATTTTGGGCTGCCCCATTGAGAGATTACCCTTCAAGTATATGGGATTGCCGTTGGGGGGGAGATCCTAGATTGGAGTCTTTCTGGGGTCCGGTTCTTGAGAAGGTTGGTAAAAAATAAGAGAGCCTTATTATCTAGAGGGGGGAGACTGACTTTGGTCAAGTTTGCATTGAGTTGTATCTCCATTTATTTCTTGTCTTTGTTCAAGGTTATGGTAAGGATTACGAAGAAAATTGAAAAGTTAATGAGGGATTTTCTTTGGGAAGGTAGGAATGAGTGGAAGAAGCATCACTTAGTGAATTGGGAGAGAAAATAGTTTCCCTTCCTAGAAGGAAAGGGGACCTTGCCATAAGAAACATTGTGATGCAGAGTATAAGAAGCTCAACGAAGGCTAATTTCAGAAAAATGATGATATTTGGACATTGGCATGATTTCAAAGAGAAATTGATTGGAATCTTATATAATTATGTTTATATATTATTAGAGTCTTATTTTATGATTATTTTTTATGTTTTTTAGGATTTTTGGATTAGGAGTATTTTGGTCATTTGCAAAATTTCCTAATATGGGTTGTGTGGGTCGACCATGGGTTGTCTTGTGAGTCAAGTTATTTAAGTTTTATTTATCTTTCTTATTTGGCTTAAATTGGTTTTGGAAGTCAAAGAAATTATAATAGTTTCCTTTTTTGGTTTTAGTTGATTTAAGAAGTCTCTTAGTTCTACATAAAGCCATGTAATGCTTATAATTCAATAGAATTGATATTTTATAGAATTTTCAGAACTTTTAAAGGTTCTTATGGATTGTGTGATGCAATCTAACCCTGGGTGTGATATCTATGGAATCTTGGTGCGATATCTAGACCTGTCTTCTTCTCAATTTTAAGTGCCAATTGAAATTCCTCATCAACAGTAAAGACTCGATGAGTCACCATGGCCTTGCGAATTTCATCTCTTAAACCTGATTTGAATCGAGAAAGAGTTTGACGTGGATCTTCAACACCCCTACATCGAATCTTTAGCTCCTCAAATTTATTCATGTACTCGACCACTATCAAGTTTCCTTGTCTGAGATTAGTAAGTCGATCAAAGAGTTCATCTTTATAGTCATATGGTAAGTACTTTTGTTTCATTCGTTGTTCCATCTCCCCACAATTAACAATGGGTTGTCCTGCAATCCGGAGTTCATGTTCCATCGCAGACCACCAAATTTGGGCTTGACCTATAAGCTTCATTACGACAAATCAAACTTTCTGATCATTTGATATATCGAACCAATCAATGTACCTTTCCAATGCAGTAAGCCAATCCAAAAAAACTTGAGGGTCAATTCTACCATCAAAATCCGGAACATCAATGCGCACTTTCTTTGTTATATCTCCAGCTGTGTCATATGGATCTTGCTTCTCATATCTTCCAAACTCAACAACTTCATTGGCTATATCCAACAAAACCCAGGCCGTTATCTTCAAAAGCCTAAATCATTGGGTGTAACAGCTACTACTTAAATTTGAATCTAAGGGAGCTGGTTGTATTTAGTTCTTATAAAGGAGGAAGTTTTTATGGCCTTATTCCTATTTTATCTTAGCTATAACCACCATGCACATACATGCATAGACGGGCTCAAGTCATGATGCAGGGCCTAAGAAGCATGGACACGGACACGTGACACGACACGGATACGACACGGACACGCTGACACGTTAATTTTCAAAAAATGAAGGACACGACACGTAGGGGACACGCGTGAAATATGTATTTTTATATATTTATTATATGTTATATATATTAATATATCATTCAAAGATAATAAAAAATGCAATATGACACTAATTCTTATAAATTTATATGATTTTTGTTTTATTATTGTATCTTAAGTTATTTTGTTTAAACTTATAATTAGTTTCACATGTATCCAATCGATAGACACGTGTGTTTATGTGATTGACATGTGTGTCTTCCAAGTATCCAAAGAGTGTTTGGCTGTTTAAAAAAATTTAAAAATTAGGACACGTTTTGAAGAGTGTCGGACACGTGTCCTAAGAGTGTCCAAAGAGTGTCGGTGTCTGACACGGACACGACACGGATACGTCACCTTCTTAGAAGTGTCCGTGCTTCCATTTCTTGTATCCTCCCACTCATGTCCAGGTTTCTTTCTTTGAAAGTAGGAAATGGGGAATCAATTCATTTTTGGGGGGGCATTTGGGTGGGTGAACTTCCTATTGATAGGGGCTTTTCCACTCTTATATAGAGTTGCTCATTCTCATAATGTTTCCGTCGCTTTTGGCATGTACTAATTTGGCACAAATATATGGAATTTCAATTTCATAAGAATAGGGAATCTACTGAACTGGCATCTTTGTTGTCCTTGCTGGAAGGTCTTTCATTGTCTTATTCCATTTGTGATATAAGGGTGTGGAGCATTCATTCTTCTGGTATTTTCTCGTGCAAATCTTTTTATGTTAAACTCATTGATAAATCTGGAGTTCCTTTGTTTCCATTCCACACAACAATTTGGATAGCATTTGTACCTTTTAAAGAGAACCTTTTTATGTGGTCTTTCGTTCGCGGAAGCATTATTATGACCAATGGTAATTTTCAAAATAGGAGACCCAATTACTTTCTTTGTCCTCAATGGTGCATCATGTATAGGAGATATGAGGAATCGATGAATCATTTATTTCTACATTGCCCAGTGGCTTTGAATTTATGGCATCGTCTTTTTTGTCTGAGTGGCTCACTATGGATGGCTTCGGATGCATGTACGCATATGCTGCTAGCTGATTTTCGGGGCTTTGGTGGCAACAAGAAAGCCAAAACTTCGTGGCATTGTGTTGTCTATGCTATCTTTTGGATTATTTGGTTAGAAAGAAATTTGTGGATATTCGAAGACGGGGTGGCGGAAGTGGATTCATTACGGGAGACAGCGTATCATTTGGCTTCTTTTTGGGAAAATGTTTCTCCTCCATTATAGGGGTCCCCATTTTTGTGATTTCTGAAGAATGGGGAGCAGTTTGTCAGTCTTAGTTTTCTTTCTTTGACATGTTTGATAGTGATTTTCTTTCCTTTTGCATTGTAAGAGGACTCCTTGTCCTCACTTCTCTTTACTTGATTGATATAATCCATTTTGTTGCTATTCAACCAAAAAATAAAAATAAAAATAAAAGTGAACTTGAAACTTGAACAAGTGTAAGCAGGTCTAAATCAATAACACTAGATACTTCATGCCAGGCCAGAGAAGTAGATATTTGTTAAAAAGATAGAGATAAATGAAAGAAAAGTACCATTGTCATCTCAAACATATTCTTTTAATAAGCTAATGAAAATTTATAGTAATATTGATTTACATAAAAGCAAGTTAAATTTATTTTTTTCAAAAATTGCTAAAGAAATTTAAGTATTCATGTATTGTATGTATCGTACCATGTATCACGTATCGTATATTACATTCTGTGTCGTAAGAGACATTTAATACGTATTGATGATACATATCGATTTCTCTAAAATATCGAATTGTAAGACACTGGCAACACTAAGTTGTAGTTGTGACAGGACCATAGGTCTTCTCATTGTAATTACTCTTATTATTATTTGGATCATTTTGAGAAACATTTAATGTGTGCCACTTGTCTATAATTTTGCTGTTGTAGACATACCCGTCTTCAAATGTGGATGATAGTCAGAATGCATTTTCAAATGATCGTGATGAATTTACTCATTCCAAATTCAGCGAAGTAAATAGTGAAATTGAAGATGACATCTTTGAAAGCATTCTTTTCAGAGCAGGCCTTGACATTGCTTTGCACCAAGATTCCTGTTCAGAGTCTTGTATCAGAAAAAAAATTTGGATGGGTGCTGATTGGATGTGTCATACTATGAATAAGCTTTGCATTTACCTTGGTGAACCTGTTAAAGCAAAAGATTTGCTTAGTGCAGTGAAGAACTTGGATTGTTGTGATGTTAATAGACATGCTGAATCTCCACCATTCCTAATGAATTTGTGGACTGTGGTTAAGATCTCCCAACAGGCAGTTATTGATCTACTTCTAGACATAATGGTTGAAAGTTGCCAACACTCAGAAACCAGATCTAGTGTGGATTGTTATGATTCAAGTTTAAAACCTTCTGGGCATGCCAATGGAGATGCCAGTGAAGGACAATTTCTAAGGCAAAGTGGACCAGAAGATTCTGGTCAATCCGCCAAATATGAGACCTTGGCCTCTTGGGTGGATGGAAGTAGCAGCATGTGTGCAGTTGAGGGCTTGGAGGAGGAGATAACCGATATACCCGAAAAAGCTATTCTTGCACAACCTCCTTCAGAACTATCTGCTATAGCCCTTCTGAAGATCAATTCTATTCAAGATCTAAAGGTTTGTTTATTTAAGTTTTTATAGATAATTGTATTTGGCTATTTGAATTCTTGACTTCAAGTATTAATTTGTTGATCTATATTCAGATCAAGTGGCCTGAGCAGGCAGATGAAATCTTAGATATGATAATCAATTCTCTGAAGGCTCTTGATGGTACTATTCCAAAAGGTGGTTTAAGGCCAAATCAATGGCTTGTATCTGTACATAAGATCTCTCGTGCACTGGACAGAGCTCCAAAACACCTGCAGCCAGACCTAGTCACTTTGGTGCCCAAGCTCGTTGATCATTCAGATAATCCACTTGCTGCATCTGTGCTTCTAGATCAACTAACTAAACCAGATGCCGACCCTGAAATCCAAGCACGAGTAAGATATATCTTTCTTTTGTTTAATTTATAGATAATAAATTTGTTATGAACGTTGAATATCAGTGAACCATTATCTGCAATTTAAGAAAAAAAATAGTTAACCATTTTGCAATGGGAATTCTAGTGATGCTGTTTGCTACTGTCTAGGAAATGAAATTTCTATGCACTACTTCCTGGAAACATCAAAAGCCTATACTGCGACAAAAGAATGTCATGATGACATTTCCATCAGATTGCACATGACATATGGGCTTTTGAGAGTGCTCTTTTATACCAATGCCATCATATGGTAGTCCTTTGACTTGCTTTTCCTACATGTGCGTAAGAGCCAAACTACAACTTTTTTTTTTTAATTGAATGTTTCCAAAGCAGCCAAATCATTCCTCGAAAACATGTAACAATGATCAACTTAGATGTAAGAACTGTTTTTTAAACTTCTTGTTAACTTGTAGTGGGCCAAATATTATGCCAAGCCCACTGCTGCATTAGATACCTCCTGACGATGCTCTGCTCATGCATGCGTACTGCAAGTATATCAGAGATTGGTAGCCACGAGTCCATGACATCGGATTCCTTTAATGAATATGTACAATTAAAAAACTTTCACATGACATGATATTAGTGTGGATGGGGCAATTTTCAATCTCTCATCTAATTGACATGGCGAATGCAAAAAGCATGAGGACATTTTATGGGGGGCTTGACAAAAGACGGATTGCATGAAAAGCTATAGACAACCTCCAATTCAATGCCTGGAGATTCTTTTTTTGTGCTTTTAGAATTTGAGTTATACAGGATTAACCTAGAGTTTGATTCCTTTATTCTCTGTGATTGTCTAAGATGGAGGAACAATGCAACAAAAGCAAGTTTTTCCCATGTGGAGAATACCTGTGTCTGAGAAGAGAAAACAAAGTAATAGAAACCTTAAGGAAGTCATACCATTTTAAGCACTAATCTATGGTGTCATTGTTCTGTATGAACCTTCTTTTATTATTATTATTAATTTTTTTTTTTTTCCTCAGGTCTTTGATGCCATTAGTCAATTGGAGTTCAGCAGTGAGGTGTGGGAACTTGTCTTTTTCGTTACTTCCAAAGTGGTGGAAAAGTTCAATGATGGAGCACTTGCAACTATCATTGGCTTTTTATTCAAGGCTGCATCTCATTGTCAGCATATTTCTGAAGCTGTGCGCACCAGCAACAACTAAGTTAAAAGTTGCATTATTTTGTGAGTAATCTGTTTGAGTTGATTGCTTCCTTTTGTATAAAAGTCCTGTTTTCTTTCTTTTGTAGGCCATAGTAGTTCATGCAATGCTGTGTAGCATGGGGGTCGAGGTATCACCCTGTGTGTTGATTTTCTTAAGCGAAACTGTACGTAGTTGCAGTGATATTGCCATGGCTTTGTTGAGAGATATTGATTTTGGTTTTGAACTTGATGACAAATTTTTAGCAAGCTCTGGTGAGCCCTTCTTGTGTGGAGAAGATAAACTTTTGACAAGAAGGTTGAACATGATGGATGATCAGGTTCTTGATGAAGGTCGTCATTTTTCTGACATCTATATCTTGATAGAGATGTTATCAGTACCTTCCCTCACTAATGAAGCTTTCCAAACTTTTGAGAGAGCTGTTGCTCAAGGATCAATTGTGGTTCAATTGGTGGCCAAGGTCTTCGAAAGACGCCATTCTCTAAGATTAAATATTGGTCCAATGTCTTCTGCTGGAAAAAACCAGCAAACAGATGAAGTACCGGGTGGAAAAATTGAGCCATTTCCTGTTGAAGAAGACGACTTTGCCTTACCTCTTGGTCTTGCTGAAAGATTCTCTCTCTCTAATCACTCCAGAGTGCAACAATTTGCACAGATGCTTTATGCTACGTTGTTTAGATTGTTTGCCGATGAGAGTAATTACAAGAGAATGCTTAAAGGGCTAATTGATCGTGCCATAAACCTCATAGAAAATGGTCATCAAGCAGATAAAGATTTCAATACTTTGCTTTTCTTGGTTAACAAGGAACAGGTTCTAGCTGGAGCAATTCTAAACATGATGAGGGAGGTCGCCAAGGCTGCCAATGCTGATTGTGCAACTCTTAGGCATCAGTTGTCTGCTAGTGAGGACCACAATTTGCGTATACAACAAGAAAGACATGCTGAACAGGCCGATATGGTTAGAGAAAAGGCTATTTTGTTGGAAAGGTTATGTGAATCTGAGGCCACTACCAACAATTATAAGGTACACAATCACTTCTCACTACTGATTTTGGCTCATGAAATGCCATCATATGTTCTGATTTTGAGTTTTTCCATGAAATTGGCAGTTTGAATTGAAGCTTGAGATAGATCGTTTTGCTACGCAAAAGAAGGAACTCTCTAAACGAATGCAAGAAATGGAGAGTCAGTTTGAATGGTTTCAATCGGAGCAGAACGATGAGATTATGAAGCTATCCAAAGAGAATAAAGTGTACAAGGATCGTCTTCATAATTTGGAGACACAACTTTCTCAACTGAAGTCCCGGAGTAGTGATGATTTGAAGGTATAGTATGGCTTCATGTTCATAACTTCAGAGTGCTATCTAAAATGTGCTCTTGTGAGCTATTATTTTGGCCTGGAACACATATGAAGGGAATCTTTTCTTCCCCCCTATTCTTTGGTTACATATCTTTTAAGATGGTTACTTCGAAAATTGATTACACATATTATATATGCCTCTAGGGATCATAGTCTGTCATATTTGATATGTAAACAGTCACTAAAGCATGCACAAAAATCCTCGACATTATGAAGAAAGTTTCATATTCTTAATTCTATGAAGCGAGGCACATGTGTGTTGGGTTTATTATTTGGAGCCATCTATAGTTTTCATTTTTGATATCATGTATGCAATTGCTGTACCCAACTTTGTGCACTGAACAGGAGTTAGTTTTAACGGGTTTAATATATTTCTTAAGATTTCTATGTTTGAACACAGATACTTGTAAAAGAGAAGAATTCTCTTGCTGAAAGGCTGAAGATTGCAGAGGCTGCAAGGAAGAAATCTGATGAGATATTGAAACACTATTATAGAGATAACCGGATTCTACAGGACAATAAACATTCATTTGAGGATGAGGTCAGGCAATTGAAAGCAACAGTTGGGCAACTTGAACAAGAGAAGCTGGACAAGGAAGAAAAGATTAAACAATGTGAAATGTACATCGGTGGGATGGAAGAAAAACTTGGTGCCTGGCAGGTTGGTATCTTCTCTCAATTTCATCAATACTTTTACAGGTTAATTGAAGCTGCTGCTGGTTGCGGTCCACAATTGAACAAGCTCCCCTTTTTGTGTAATCATTATTCTATCTTTTCCTTTTCCTGCTGGTAAAATTATATCACTTTACTGAAATAAAAGCAATGTACGTATGAAAAAACAGGGTTGACGTCTTTTAATTGCCAACATGCTGAAAACATCCTCATGTTCCTTATGATAGAGGAGATTCTAGGAAAGACCTGCAGAAAGTTTTCTCTAGAAAATTGGATCCTGAGGGGTAAAAGCACTAGAAAATTGCCCTAATCATATACTAAATTAGGCATATGGCCCATGGAACGTTATAGCTTAAGGCTTAAGGCTTAAGGCTTAGTAGAATGTGGTGCCACCGTGCCACTATATGCAACGGACAAGCTGGCCAATGAATTCTTCCTCTTTAACAATGGGACAACCATTCAGATAGTTCTTCAGTAGGGATGAGACGGTTTACATTTATTTAAGTTATAAAGCAGCTGTTTACTGGAAGTTGGAACAATGCCACTTTTTTTGTTCTTTTTGGGCGGTTCATATTTGCTTCTGCTTTTCTGATAGCATGAATGACTTTGGTGCCATAGATTCTTCCATATCTTTTCTTGTCCTTGTCTTCTTTTCTTTTCTTTTTATTCTTTTTCATCTGAATTTTCTAGTGAAAAATGAACAGAAAAAGGTTCATGCAACATACCACAAGATACAGTTTTGTTGCCTCTTTATTCAATCCAAATCCTGCTGAGATCTCTCTCAAAAATCAAAACCCTTCATTTATCATATCGAAAAAGTTGCAGCATCACAAAACTATGTGATTTGTGTCCGTCTTATAATGCTATAATTACATAACAGCACTTCTCCTAAAGAACTTTTCTATGTGACTAACATCATGCCTTGGGTTTCTTCTCCCTCATCTCTTTTTTTGCCATAATAACCTGTTTTGGAGATCTAAAGCCATTGAGAGTTGAGGCCTTGGTTTGCTTGCAACACACATGGAATGTGACATGACCTCTTCCTTAATGTGTAAGTGGAGAATATAATAAAAATTGTTGGATCTTCTCTTAACATGTATTTGGTTTTCTTACATCATGCACATAGTTGCGAGCATGCCCCAGGATCATGAACTATCTTTCTTTGCAATTCACATGGCGTACTCTTGTACGAGTTGTTTTCCAATGTGTACATATATTTGATCTTCAGAGGAACTTCTAAGTCATCACCAAATGGTAGAAACTATAGATTTTCTAGTTCTTCATTTATACTCAGAAGTCGAATATAAATTCTTTTCTTCCAATCTGTAAATTTAATTGTTGTTCAAAGTAACTCCAAGTGATCCTCAAAATGGTGGAAACTACCCATTGGATAATTAATCATCTATAACTGAAATCAAATGATAATTCTTTCTTCTTTGGAGAATAGGGTGCTTGCACCCCAAAATATGAGAAACAATTTTTTTCATGGTCTGGAGCACAATTTAGGACAGCATTTTTGCAATATAGTATGGCAAAGAGCCATGATTGCTGTATACTATGGCAAAGAGCCATGATTCAGTAGGGGCAAACCAACAAACCGATGCACGTGGTGTTATGCGTATGATTATGATTATTTCTGTATCGAAATAAATTGTGCCTTGATTAAATGATGCCTGTGTTATGCAGAAACATATCCATTCTCTTGAGGTTTTCCTTAGAGAGGAGATGTCACAACATGCTCCTCTGTATGGTGTTGGCTTGGAAGACCTGTCAATGAAGGAACTAGACACATTGTCGAGTATCCATCAGCAAGGGCTCGAACAGATATATGTCCTCCAGCAACAGAAAGCTAATCTTGCCGCCAACCCTCCTGCAAACCCCAACACCTTTCCAAGCTCCAGCAGGTCATAAAATACTCTCTATTAACCCATCTCCGGATTTGTTTGTAATCCAGTATCTGGTCCACCACAACAGTGGACAAGTTTCTTTCAAGGGACTACCTTGGAATGATCAAGCAGACGTTCATTTCCAACAAATGGCATCTGGGTGGTCCTGCCTTCTTGACCTCAAGATCTTACTAGTATTTCAAAAACTACAGCTTTCTTTAAAAAGAAAATAAAATTTTTGACTTTCCCAATTCCTCTCTTTTTTGTTTAATTTTTTTTTAATATCTTTTTGTTTTCTTGTTATAAAGCTTCTATTTTGTTTTTAAACTGATGGAACCTAGATTTTGTGAAATATACAATAGAAAAGGAATACAATTACAGAAAGTAAAACTTCATGGCCTCTGTAGTTCACTAGCTAACCCTTTTTTTAGGTGTGTTGCGATTATGAACTTGTAATTGATTTCTAATTTTTCAAATGGGGTGTGATAAGCCAACCTGTATTACGTTTAATTATGCATGAGATTATGTGTTTGATATGAATTTGCAAGTTTAAGTATGTGAATTTTGTGATTTTGGAACTTGATGGAAATATTTGTTACAAACACCACTTTAAGCGGAAAATTGATAGCCTTAGAGGCGCGATAAACCAAAATTGACTTCATATTTGTGATTAGCATGATTTTTAAAGCCTACATTGAAATTTTGTAAAATTCCGATTCGTAATGATTAAATCAAAATTTGTGAGTTAAGCTTCATTGTGTTTGGCCTCTTGTGTTCTTCATTTTGGGGGAGAGTTTGTTAGAGTGAGCCAGGGTTTTGGAAAAGAATCAAGGGGCAAACCTTAGACTTGAGTTAAGGTATGATAATCTACTTATAATATTTGTCTCTAACTCATCTTTGGCATGAAATCAAGAATAAATTGGGAATTTTGAGCTAGGGTTTGAGTTGTGTAAGGTTTGGAATAAAATCAAGAAATCTCTTCATTTTGTTTGATTTGAGTTCAATCTTGTGATTAATCTATGAAATAAACCCTTGATGGTTCATACAAACAAGATTTGTTGGAAGATCATTCATAGATATATGTATTGAGCTTGTATATGAAATTCATGATTGTATGGAAAAGATGAGACCATGAAGTTGATGTTGATGCAAGATTGATAAGTTTAATGTGGAATTACACTTGTATCATGCTTATGTATCATGTTTTTAAGTGAGTTTTGCTTTCATTGGAGTTTGGAAGGGTTACATTTTTGGCCATTTTCGGATTGTTTGATTTTGCCCAGATTGCACAAGCGGCCACGGGCTCCGTACGAGCGGAACATGATAAAAAATAGAGGTTTGCATTCTGCTTAAACCACCGCTCGAGTGGCCCAGTCACTGCATGAGCGGTCAAAGTGGGCGCACGTGCGTCTAACCATGTTTCAGCTTATACCTAGTAACTTCAAAAAGGCATATCTCCCTCATTCAGACTCCGTTTTAGACGATTCTTGAGCCTAAATTCAAGCCCCAAAAGTCTAGTTTCCGGTGGTGTGGTCTCACATCCATATTCTAAGTACACAAATAGATATGTTCAAATTAGTGAACGCTGTTCACTTTCTTTCTAATTGTTTCATGCTATTTCCTCTCCTAACCCAATTTCCTTCCGTTTCTTCCTATTTTCCTAGACACGGATTATGACCCATTGAGGACTAATGAGTTTATAACCAACAAAAATAATTGTTTAAGGAGCAAGTAAGGGGATTGATTTATTTGGTTAAGAAAAGATTAAGAGAAGTAAATTTGATCAAGAGAGTAATTCTATGATCCGATATGTTGTGTCATGCGCATTGTGTTTGTAGGTCATGATTTGAGGACCGGTCAACTATTTCTGGAAACCACTATGAGTAATAGTATAGTAAAGATATGTTTTTTGTTATCTATTTTGATTTATGTACGACATGATCTTCTAATATCGTATTTTGTCAAAATGCCCAAGTTTCCAAGAAATGTGAAATGAGTTATGAACAAGAAATGTGAATTGTTTATAATCTGATATGGTGGGTCCAAGGTCGTTCTGTTTATCCGTTCTGTTTATGTTATGACATGATATGAATTGTTCAGTCTTTAAAACCTATTGATTTCTGGTATAGAACAAAGTATCGTACGGAACTAAGTGCTACAATGGGAGTCACCTCTAGAGTCTGTACGAGTCACCTCTTGGGTCCATACATACATAAATGTTGGCCCCAAGGCCGTTTTGATATATGATTGGACCCGATGCCGTTTTGATAAATGTTAGGCCTGAGGTCATTTTGATATGTGCAAATTGGGCCCGAGGCCGTTTTGATATGTGCAAATTGGGCTTGAGGCCATTTTGATATATGTTGGGCCCGAGGCTGTTTTGATATATGATTAGACCTAAGGCCATTTTGTTTACATGATTGTGGATTTTGTGAGAATCTTATGATTATTACGTGGTTTATTATATAATTACTCATTGAGCTTCGCTCACCCAATATTATGTATGCACATGTAGGTAATCCGTAGTATGGAGCACACTCCCAAAGTCAGCTTCATAAGTTGTTAAGGTCGTTTTGATATGTGCAAATTGGGCTTGAGGCCGTTTTGATATGTGCAAATTGGGCCTGAGGCCATTTTGATATATGTTGGGCCCGAGGCTGTTTTGATATATGATTAGACCTAAGGCCATTTTGTTTACATGATTGTGGATTTTGTGAGAATCTTATGATTATTACGTGGTTTATTATATTATTACTCATTGAGGTTCGCTCACCCAATATTATGTATGCACATATAGGTAATCCGTAGTATGAAGCACACTCCCAGAGTCAGCTTCAGAAGTTGTTCTTTTTGAGACCCAATCAAGTCCACCTCCAAGATGGAGTTTTGTCTTGACTCACACCATACCTTGATCTTATTTTGTTTTTACTTTCATGGTCTTGGGTTGTAAACACTATGTACAATTTTTCCTTTGGCTTCTATATCAGAAATGATAGAGACTCCCTTTTCCCTTAACTCCCACAACCCCCACAAACACATGTCATGAGTGATAGGAGAAAAAAAAAAAATAAAACAAAACAAAAAGCAAAAAGTTGGCCAATCCCAATACATTAGGAGTGGTGGGGATCAAAGAAAAAGGGAGTCTTAACCTTTTTCCCTCCTATGTTTTTGTTGGGCTGTTAAATGTATTAATGTGTTATGCAATTATCTCTATGATCTTGCTCATGATCGGCACAACTCAATGGACTCCTTCTCATTATATGCTTTCGTTATGGCCCCATTAATATAAATATTTTGTATGTCCGTTTGAGACCTTTGGTAATCTACGGATTCGGGTCATAACATGGGGGCATTGGCAATAGGGCTACAAACAAGCTTAGTATTGTAGAGTTCAAGCTCGACTTGTTTATTTTATTGAGCTTGGAAATTAATCTAGCTCAAGCTCGGCTTGACTCGTTAATACTATTTTTACTCAAGCTCGACTTGAAGTTTGATAATGCCACAAAAAAAGAAAAAAAAAAATTTAGCTCGCTAATCAAGTTTGGTTAGCTTGTATAATGAATATGCATATATAATACATTTCACATTAATTAATATGTAAACAATAAACAAATTGAGTTTATTTTAGCTTGAGTTCAACTTGTACATTGAACGTGATTAAAATTTTAGTGAACGGGCTTAAAATTTTAGTTCGGGTTCATTTATATATGTAATGAGTCGAGCTTGCCAGTGATTTGCAGCCGAAATTGGCAATTAATGTCCTACCTTATTTGAGGAAGCCTGGAATTTAGCACTTTATTGGATTGAGTGCTCAAATTTGGTGAAAAAACTCTGGTCAACAGCACCGGATCCTTTTTATCCACAATCCATGTTTCCCTTGCTCAATGCACTACCGGTTACCAGATACATGACTGTAACTTGAGATTCTTATCAAGTTGTGTGATAGAAAGTGTATTGAATACAAATATATATATATATATATAAATTTTGAATACAGAGAATTGCTAATCTTGGTTGAGAAAGTGGATAAGTATTTACTTCTTGTACACAATTTGTTTGGTTGGTGCAATTGTTAAAATATATTCATATGTTTGAGAAGTTGAGTTTGAGGATTTTTTAACTAAAATAGTCACAAAAAATCAAATAGGTTTTTTAGTTTAATAAGATAAAATATTGCATCTAACTCATAATTATTACATTCTTTTTTTCACAAAAAAATCAAAAAAACTAAAAAAACTAAAAACTCTTCTCAAACCAGGATTTTTAGCCTCGGGCTAAAATAGCCAAAAAAACTAAAAAGTCAAAAAGTCAACCCACTTCCCAAATGAAGCGTGAAAAATGTTAGGAATTCTAAATATTTTACCAAATGTTCTACCAAATGTCTCAATGTGGGACCTACACTATGTAGGTCTCAAACCAATGTGAGAGATTTGGTAGAATATTTAAAATCCCTACTATTACTCAAACATATTATAAATTATAACTTAACAGGTTATAAATCATAACTTTAATAAAAAACTATTAATATGTTTGGTAAATTTAAATTACTAAGTAGTATTTGTTATAGCACTTGTGAGATAGCCTTTTGCTATGTAAATGTCTTTCTTACCCTTTTTTTACTGCTTTTTCCAACAACAAATTAATATAGTAAAATTATTTTTGGCTCATGAAAAGGGTAAATTACACTTACCTTCCCTTAACTTTGAAGAAAATATAATTAGTTCCGTATTTTTGACTAATTACATGGACGTCAAGGTTTTAATTGAAATAATGCTTAGACATTTTTCTTCTGTAACTCGTTAGCCGTATAAATAAACAAATAAAATGATATTATCATCTATATTTATTTTTGTTTATTTCAACATCTACCTATGACTGGTATTAGTTTCAATCGCTTTTAATTTAATTATAATAAAAGAGAAGTTAGTGTAATTATATACAAAGGGAACGACTACGGTACGGAGTAACATCAGTTGTGGATATAAACTAGACTATAAGGAACAGAGTCTTAAACTGTGGACAAGTCTACACTAAGGAGTAAGTAAACTTGACTAAGCAAAGAAGTCAAGAAATTATCAAAAGTGTGGAGATACCGGCATTTTCTCTAAACATTAAGGGTGGTGAGTATAATTTACCCTAATAAATATGATACAAACATGGAACAAGCATGGATCCATTACATTTTAATGATAATTGTGTAAAAAATTGACATTA